TCATCACAATTCAGAAATAAAACAATTTATTTCTGTACCTGCTACAGCTATGAATACACATCCGATGTGGTCTAGTGGCTAGGATAGGTGGCTTTCACCCACGCGGCCCGGGTTCGATTCCCGGTAGGGGAAGTTCCATTTTGTATGATGGTTTTCTTTCGTCGGAATTCAGAAATAAGACATCTTTTGTACCTGTGCTTGAATGGGATGAGTCACTCAAATTCGTTGATTTCACGGATAACGATAAGTCTTCTCAGTGTCAGATTGATCGGGATACCCTGTGATGAATTGTTTTAAATTCGGATGAGTATTATGTAGCTGTTTGTGTATTCCGACTGACCAATTGTAAGAGGGTTAATTTGATGATACGGATGCAAGGAATTTCGAATATCATGTTTCAAAATATTTGTGTTGAACATTATAATGAGCAGATTAGTTAATCGAGTAATGATTTGCAAGCCGAAATGAAACTGCCGGGAATTTGAAACTGATCTTCATCTCTGTGTTAATTTATGTTGTGCAAAAGAAGTGTTGCAATGACTTGTAAGCAATGGAAATCAGAAGTGAACAGCAGAATATTTCGTTTACTTTGTGAAGCTGGTTAATTGAAAACAACATTTATCATGAATATCTTCGTTCCGATCACTAGCATTTTTAATCGTGTCATCTTCGCTGGACGCAAGAAACGGAATTGACCCACCTCATCGCTTGTTTGCATTAATCTATATTCGTTGTTGTTGTCATTTAAATAATGAATTATATGTTTGTTCATTTGTTTTACATATTTTTTGTCTACAACGTACGAATTTTACGAAAATCATGTGTGCTTGAGGTTCGTTTATTATATTATGGTTTTCTTTACTGTTTTATTCATATAATTTTAGTGCTGTCAGTTAATATTTTAAAGATTTATGTGTTGCTTTGATTAATTTTGTTCATCTACGAAAATGTGATAGTATTTGTCTTCTGAATTAATAACATCTCACTTTATGCATACGGTACATGTGGTGAGTGTAGATGGACCGCATTCACTGTTTATTTTTTGCATTCGCCCAATGCTATTGAAAAATCATCATACAGCATAATTGCTTTCCCAGAATCCTTCTGGGATTCAACTAATGGCGCCGGCCAGTCTATCTGAATATGAAATCTCTGTATCTGACAGTCCAAACGTGCCAAAATGTTTCGTAAACACATTGCTGGCCTGTCTCACATTCTACGACCAGTTATGCGAATGAAAGTGAGCAAAATTGTTTAACCATCAGGTATAGTGTGACCGACATATAGGTCGGTAGCAATTTGGAATGAAGAATCAATGTTTTCGATAAAGCAGATCATTTTTTTCTGAATTCCTATGAAACAACCTGAATTGCAAGAGACATCAATTTCTATGTAGAGAATCGAGCAGAGGCCACGCGAGTGGAAGGCGCACACTCTAATTCGAATCGCAATATTTCTAGATTAGGATGAACTGAAGTCTTCCCATGATCGGACAAACCATATTCATTCCTTCCAGTTTCAGACTGATATCTTAGAGACCATACAGAGATATTTTACAGATCTGTATGGTTCTCAGGCCTTAGAATGCACGATGTTGATTTAAAAAATCATGATATACAGATACCAGAAACTGATATAGGCATCATAACTAAGTATTTATCAGAGGAACGAGAGCAGCGACTGCTAATGAACAAGAAACAATGTTGTTCATGAACGGTTGAATATGAACGGCTAGCGCAAATTGAACGCTTTTCTCACTGTTAATATGCATATTCGTTGACATCAAACATTCGAGTAGCTGATCGAATGATGTATAACGTCCACGAAATGCAACAGCGTTCACTTTGTATGACGTTTTCAATTGTACCAGACGTGTGTCAACGTTCGGTGAATTGCTGTTTAACGAGGATGATGATATTGCAACGGAATCAAATTCTACAAGTATCTCGCGAAGTATTCTGAAAAAAAATTTGTATGTAAGCAAGACTGTATAGTAAACGAGTAGTAGTAAGAGTTCAGTTTCTTTGCGGAATATTTCCGATGTGCAGCATGCATTATGATCATTAGGGTCTGGTTTTCCATCGGTTGATAACTTCGCTGTTTTATTTTCCAGTAATCGCCAGGTAATTCATATGATTAGAATTATTATTGAAATTTCAATCGAATAGCTGAATGGGACAGTAAGTTCAGTATATATCACTAAAATTGTGCGAAATTTGTGCTACATTGAGAAGATATTTTTGCATCAGTATATGCATACAGTTTGTAACTAAACTATGGCAAACCATTATTAGTAGGGAAACAATTGTAGTAAAATTAGTTACCTCGAAGCTAGCAAATTCCATTGTGGTATTCCATATGGTCTGGTCTCATCAAATCGAAGTTTCAGTTTTCTTTCTAAATTAGATCGCAACTGAGTAATGGTATCGTCGTCGATTTCTGAATATCTGATCGACTCTGGTTGAATCGATTCTAGATTATCGCGATCTTTATCGAATAACCTCTTCCAGTAGTTGCTTTTCTGAACGATTTCATCGGTACAAATGGCTGTTTTTGTGCCAACATCATCATTGTTTTTTTGAAAATACTCAATAAGCACTCGAAAACACCTTGAAATCGAAGCTCATCTGGCTCGGATGTTGATGCGATTGAATGTTTGCATAGATATTTTGGTTGCTAATCGCTGTACCAACACAGAGGATAGGACACAGCGCATCATCTGATGAGTAGCAGTTTCCATCAGATGGATTTAGAAGCATCGTTTTGTCGTTGACAAATGCTAATACATAGGCAGCGTTGGAGCCTGAATTTTTTCTTAGATACACCAAGGATTTCAATGAATTTACCCGAATTAATTCATAGTTTGACATTGGATCTACAAATTATGTATTATTCATAGGAACATTTGCTAAAATCTGACATTCGCTAATCGAAAGAACTTCGTTTCAAAAAATAAACCACCACCAATTCGACGAATTGTACAAAATAGGTCTCTCTGTGGTTGATTTTTGAATTTCATAAAAAAACAACCTTCAGGTAAAGCAAGTCCAAGTAATACGTAAGCTGATATGTTGAAATATAGTAACCAACAACACAACAGAATGGCATGCTCTTCTTCACCTCCACATCCAATTGATAAAAACTAAAACTTTATTTCGCCAGTTGAAATTAATCACTAATTCATGGGAGGAACCGAGAGTATCTACCCGAAACTTTTTACGAAAACGACTGTTTCATGAAGAAAACTTTCATAATTCATTTAAAGTTCCTTTGTAAGATGGAGATAGGTGTGAATTTTTCAAGCATAATAGTTGTCTGGTTGAATTGTGTCTGCTTGCGGAAACTGACTGAAACTTGGAGAATGCGGTAAACGGAACAAAAAATCTTACTTGCTCAGCCGATGTCCATAAATCACATACACCAGGGAACATAACTGGATCGGAAAGAAAAGGTATGTATGACACTATCCGACAAGCCACTTCCACGGTGCGTTCCAGTGATTGTGACTCAACATGTGATGGGGGTTTAATCGCACGGATAAATCTGTACTTAGGTTCATTTATTACATCTCTTCGATTTTACTGAAGAAAATGGTTTTGAAATGTTGTTCGAAAGCACTGTTTAAAGTGCACATATATTTCTCGAGAAGTATTCCAAAGCAACTCACCTGCTAGCAAGTACTCTTCTTCCACTAGCATCTATCGCAAGACTATGAAAACGCCTTTCCGGGTACTGTGCCTTTGCTTCATTGCGCCATTTAACACACTGATTTATCAGCTGAAATAAAGAGAGAATCTGATACGCTCCAATAAGACATACCTACCTTCTAATCAACACATCGTCCAAATTAGCTAAATTCTGGATTTAAGTTCTTTCTGTTCAATCAAATTTGAGGCCGATTTTAAGCAGACCTCATTCAGTTGCGCTCTTTAGATAAATTTTGGTGAAGGTCATGAAACTTAACGTAAACTTGTGGTTTTCAAAATGATTCACTGCTTAATAGAACGAAATTTCCGCCACTGCAAAGCATCATATGGTATGCACTGTTTTCATATATGACCTAGAGTTGCTTTTTGGAAAAGCTCGCTACTCATCAAAAGCTCATGCATGGCCACTATAAAGCCCCTTGTGGTCTGGAAGTTAGAATTTATACCTTTCTCCAGCGCAGCCCACGGTCGATTCCAGCTGACTGAAGTCTGGCTTTCAGACGAGATTTTTTAGTTGTCAAAATTCAACAAAAGTAAAGTTAAATTCAACAAACAAGTGATTGATAGGTTGGGAGGACATATCGCGGCTAGGAATCATGGGTTTTGTTCATACGGCCGGGATTAATTCCAGGTATGGCAAGTTATG